GCGAGCGATGGTGCGCCGCGCTCGGGGCAGGAGCTCGGTCTCGAAAGAGGAGCCTCCCTCCGTCCGCCCAGGCGCTGCAAACGCTCCAGAAGAGCGCGCGCTGTGAGGAGAAGGAGCGAGGAGGAGGAGGAGGAGGAGGAGGAGGAGGAAGAACGAGGAGGAACGAGGAGGAGGAGGAGGAGGAGGAGGAGGAGCAGTTACCCTGTCTATCGGCGAGCGAGCGAGGGGCTCCTCCTCCTCCTCCTCATCCTCCGCCTCCTCCTCCTCCTCCGCCTCCTCCTCCTCCTCCGCCTCGTCCTCCTCCTCCTCCTAGAATCGGCGGCGAGCGAGGCGCGGGCAAGGTTCATATCTAGATCCAGTGCGTCTTGGACTTTCTTGGAAAGGGCGCTACAAGGCTGAGGCGCACTGGATCTGCATAGAGATCGAGCCTCCAAGGGGGCAGATTTCTGTTATCAATATCCAGTGCGCCTCGGGTCTCTGGGGAAGGGAGCCCTAAACGCCAAGCTGCAGCGGATATGGGCAGAAGTATTGCCCGCACGAGGGGGGGGAAGCAAAAGGAGAAGGACTTCTCGGAGGGCTGCTGGACTTCTCAGAAGCGCCCCGCGGTCTTCCGAGAAGTGTTGTGTGCGTGCGCGTCTTCGGAAAAGGCTCAGAAGGCTTCTCAGAAGGCGGGGGCGGGGCTTCCAAGCCTTCTGAGAAGGCCTTCTCCTTTTCACTCCCCGCCTCGCTCGCCGCCGAGAGGAAGCGAGAAGCGCTCTGCGTCCTCGGGCAAGGCGTAAGTCGGGCGTGTCCCTCCACAAGGGGAATATTCAAAAATAGTCAAAAAGTAGTCAGGGGACCATTGTTTGAGTATTTGGGGGCATCGTTTGAGTATGTTCTGCATATTTGTAATCGTTCCCCCAAAATCCTCCTGTAGGGGGACAGGCCCGACATCTCAGAAGGCCTTGGGAGCTCCCGAGCCTCCCGCGGGGAGGCCCGCCCGTTCACGGTCCCCCGCTCCCCCGCCCTTCTCCCCCCGGGACGGGACGGGGCGGCTCTCCGCCGTGCACCGAGGCTCCGAGCCCTCTGAGAGGGCCTTCTCCGTCCCCCGGAGGAGGAGGAGGAGGAGGAGGAGGAGGAGGAGGAGGAAGGGAGGAGGAGGAGGAGGAGGAGGGGAGGGGAGGAGGGGGAGGGGGAGGTGGAGGGAGGGAGGGAGGGAGGGAGGGCGGGGAGGGAGGGGAGGGAGGGGGAGGGAGGGAGGGAGGGAGGGAGGGAGGGAGGGAGGGAGGGGAGGGAGGGAGGGAGGGAGGGAGGGAGGGCGGAGGAGGAGGAGGAGGAGGGAGGAGGAGGAGGGAGGAGGGAGGAGGGCGGAGGGAGGAGGGAGGAGAGGGAGGAGGGAGGAGGGAGGAGGAGGAGGGAGGAGGGAGGGAGGAGGAGGGAGGAGGGGGAGGAGGAGGGAGGAGGGAGGAGGGAGGAGGGAGGAGGGAGTAGGGAGGAGGGAGGAGGGAGGAGGAGGAGGGAGGAGGGAGGAGGGAGGAGGGAGGACGGGAGGAGGGGAGGAGGAGGAGGAGGAGGAGGAGGAGGAGGAGGAGGAGGAGGAGGAGCGGGGGAGGAGGGAGGGGGAGGAGAGGGGGAGGGAGAGGGAGGAGGGAGGGAGGGAGGGAGGGAGGGAGGGAGGGAGGAGGGAGGGAGGGAGGGAGGAAGGGAGGGAGGGGGAGGGAGGGAGGGAGGGAGGGAGGAGGAGGAGGAGGAGGAGGAGGAGGAGGAGGGAGGAGGTAGGAGGGAGAGAGGGAGGAGGGAGGAGGGAGGAGGAGGAGGGAGGGAGGAGGAGGAGGGCGAGGAGGGAGGAGGGAGGAGGAGGAGGGAGGAGGGAGGAGGTAGGAGGGAGGGAGGGAGGAGGGAGGGGGAGGAGGAGGAGGGAGGAGGAGGAGGGAGGAGGGAGGAGGGAGGAGGGAGGAGGAGGGGAGGGAGGAGGGAGGAGGGAGGAGGAGGAGGAGGAGGAGGAGGAGGAGCCCCTCGCTCGCTCGCCGACAGACAGGGCAACTGCACCGACCCTCGCTGGGCCGATCGCGGGCCCGGGCTCGGGGTGCACGTTGTTCCTGGCCGGGCCGGGAGGGCGCACGGGCGGAGGCCCGTGCCAAGGAGCGCCCCGCTCGCCTCCAGGGTGCCCCGGGTGTCTTGGGGTTCGATGGCTTTGCCATGGAAAGCGTGGCGTTCCCACACCGAGGTCCCTGGACGTCCTGGGGTCTCAGGGTTGAGTTTCTTGTGCAAGGTGTCTTGTGGACTGGCCTCCACTGTATGCACCGACCCTGGGCAGACACATCCTCCAGGTTCGCCGACTCGGCAGACAACGGGCTCGCTCATCCCGAGGTTGCACTATTCTTGTCGGAATGTCGGCTGTTTTGTCGCGTGCGTTCAGGAGGACAGCCCTCTTGAGGGGCAGCGGATTTCAATACTGCAGAGCGATCGAATCGAACCTTCAGGCGATTTCGCTGCAAGCAAAAACAAATCCTGTCTCAATAAAGGGTGCGTGGAGGCGGCGAGGAGGAAGGGCGTCCCCCGTGTGGGATGTGGCCAGAGGTGGCCCTGGCCTGAAAGGTGGCCTGGGCTTCCCCGAGGGAGGCCTTCCAGAGCGCCCCACCCTCACGAGGCCCAGAGGGCCCCAGGGGCGCCAGAACGGCCCGAACAGCTGGGGACACTTGGGGCCATGAACGCTCTATAGAGCCCCATGGCCAGGAGGTAGCTGCCTCTAGGCGGGACAGGGCGGACGATGCGAAGGCGGGGGCGGGGACGACGAGCAAGTGTGTGCCCCCCCAGGGGGCTTCGCCGTCGCGCTCGAGCGCACCCGCGTCCTCTGCCCCCTCCTCTTCTGTAGCGGCTTGGAGAATACCCGCCCGTGGGAGCAATCATGCACTGGAAAGGGGGACAGGCTAGAGTTCAGTCGGGCATGTCCCTCTACAAGAGGGAGATGCAATCATAGCTAGATATCAGTACGGGAACGATGTTTCGTGCTCTTCTGCTTTGTTTTGCGTCTTGTTGGAATAAGTGCTGTTTCAAAAATCCGCCTGCAGGAGGCCATGTCCGACCTAAGGCTAGAGACAGCACGCGAGTGCAGGCGTCACTCCTCTGGAGGACGCGCCTCGGCCCAGCTCCACTCTCCAGGCCTCCCAGGTGGGGTCCCAGCAGACGGGGTCGGGGGATCGCGCCGCACCGCCGATGCATCGCCGCTGCGGCTCGATGCGGAGCCCGATGTTCTCCACGCCGACGTCGCCGGGGCATCGCCGATGCGGCGTGATGCTCCGACCCCATCTACGCGAACCCCAGCGAGGAGGCTTCTACACTCGAAGGAGGAAGAGAAGTGGAGGGGGGACGTGTGGCTCAAGCCCCCTCCTCCTCCTCCTCCTCCTCCTCCTCCTCCTCCTCCTCCTCCTCCTCCTCCGCCTCCGCCTCCGCCTCCGCCCCCCCTCCTCCTCCTCCTCCTCCGCCTCCTCCTCATCCTCCTCTCCTCCTCCTCCTCCTCCCCACTTCCTCCTCTCACTTCCTCCTCCTCCTGCCTCCTCCTCTCTCCTCCTCCTCCTCCTCTCTCCTCCTCCTCCTCCTCACTCCTCCTCCTCTTCATCCTCCTCCTCCTCCTCCTCCCCCCATCATCCTCACCTCCTCCTCCTCTCTCCTCATCTCCCCCCACGCGCATCGCGCCCGCCCGTCCGTGCCACAAAAGGGCCCTTGCCCCGCCCCCCCCCCCGCTGGACCCTCGAGCCTCAGTCGAGGCTCGGCCCCTCGGGCCTCTCGACCCAGGAGCCTCGCTCCGCGAGCCTCGAGCCTCGATCCTCGCCTCTCGAGCCCTTCGTCTCGAGCCCCCCCTGAGCTCGAGCAGGAGATCCACTATAGCAGAATCGACCTACCTCAAAATATTGACATGTTTGCCGAATCTACGAAACAAAAAAAACTGAAATGTCAGCAGACCTGCGAACATTCTGCGCATGTGACGTAGATCCGAGAGACATGCTTAATGTTGGGGTATAACAACGACACCACCCCGCCTACAGCACTCCATGTTGCTCTACGGCCCATCGGGCGCCGTAGCGTATACCACGCAAAAACCCACAGTAGATCTCCTGGCATACGCGAAGCCCCGTGAGGTCGTAGGTGGGGCGGTGTCGCTCGTTGTCTGGTCCAAATCAATTGTACAGTCGATCTCCGACTCATTCTATGATGTTCCAACCTACTTTATAGCCTTAACCACCAGAAAGAATTCCGAGCACCAAGAACGTACCGAAACCGGAGGGTTGTCACGTGCCGGGCTTTGGGAGGCGATGTTCGTCCGACATTGTTGCGATACTCTTTTCTGGGTGCTCGAAAGTATGTTTGGGATGTGGCCCTCAAGTACGACGGGAACAACATTACGCATAGCAAGGATGGGCAACTGTCCTAAGGGTACCCTTGCGTCATTGCCTCCTCGGTCCATCCTTTTGGCCACCTTCGCTGGCCGCGCTCCACCCGACGAGCTTCGAGATGGCCTCCCGAGGCCCCTGCATCCCTCTTGTCGCACATCCTTCTGACACGGTTAAGTCGGGCACGTCCCTCTAGAGGAGGAATATTCCAAGATAGTCCACACATACTGATATGGGGAGGTTTGTTGGACTATTGCTGAGCATGTTTGGTGCATGTTTGGAGTACTCTAAATTTGTCGCGCAAGATCCGCCTGTAGGGGAACATGCCCGACCTCATGATACGGGCCGACTGAGGAGGAGGAGGAGGAGGAGGAGGAGGAGGAGGAGGAGGAAGTGGGAGGAGGAGGAGGAGGAGGAGGAGGAGGAGGAGGAGGAGGAGGAGGGGGAGGGGGAGGGGGAGGACGAGGAGGAGGAGGAGGAGAGGAGGAGGAGGAGGAGGAGGAGGAGGAGGAAGGGGAGGAGGGAGGAGGGTGAGGGGGAGGAGCGCCCGCGAGCAGCGAGGGAAGAGGCCCTTCCCCCCCCGCGCGGGTGGCCTCGGGCGCCCGCCCACCGCGCGCTCCCCGCCGGCAGGAGGAGGAGGCCCGAGCGGCCGCCGCGCGGCAGGAGGAGCCGCCGAAGCGCAAGCAGGCGCCGCCCGCCCGCCCCGGCGCGGCGGGGGCCCATGCCAGGAAGCACCCTGCTCGCCTCCGCCTCCTCCTCCTCCCTCCCTTCCCTCCTCCCTCCCCCTCCCCTCCCTCCTCCCCCCCCCTCCCTCCTCCCTCCTCCCTCCTCCCTCCCCCCTACCTCCTCCTCATCCCCCTCTTCCTCTCCTCCTCCTCTCCTCCTCCTCCGCTCCTCCTCCTCCTCTCCTCCTCCTCTCCTCCTCATCCTCCTCCTCTTCCTCAGACTCATCTCCTCCTCCTCCTCCTCCTTCTCCTCCTCCTCCTCCTCGATCCTCCTCCCCCACCCCTCCTCGGTGGGCCCTCTTGGCCATCACTAGCCGGGGCTCCAGGCGGCCGCTCTCCGGGCTCTCCATGTAGGGTGCCGTGGGTTTCTTGGGGTTCGATGGTTTTGCGATGGCAAGCGTGACGCTCCCTCACCAACAATCGATGGACGTTCTGGGGTCTCAGGGTTAGGTTTCTTGCGGAAGGTCTCTTGTGGTCGGGCCCCAACTGTGCGGCGGGGGCTCCGGCCTCTGCCCCGGCTCCGGCGCCCACCTCGGCTTGCGCTCCAGTCGGAGAAGAAGAAGAAGAAGAAGAAGAAGCGCAAGAAACCTAAACTTTTGGCGCCCCGCGCGGATCTCTTGGATTCGCGCGGGGCCCCCCGGCGGCGCCTCTGGCGCCGCCCCTGGCGCGCTTCGCGCGCCAGGCAGGGGGGTCCAGCGCAGATCCAAGAGGTGCGCGCGGAGCGCCAAACAAATTGTGGTTGTGCCGTGATTTCTTCTTCTATCCAACCCTGACCCTGGCGACAGCCTTGGCCTGGGCCCTGACTACACGGCGGGGGCGTTCGTCAAGCAATGTGCTCAGGAGACCGCAGACCCTGGAGGATTCCTTATCTGATGAAGGCGGCGGTGATACCCGTGGCCAATCCACGACGGGAATCCCGCCAGCTTCCAGACCCAGAATTCCTTATCTAAGGGCTCCTTGTCCAATGCCCCCACCGCTTTGCACGCCGACGGGCCCTCTGGCCCTCGGAGGAGCAAAAACGAAAAGCAAAAAAAATGCCCCCACCGTTTTTCGGTCCGGCCCTTCGGTGCGGCTTCGGTCCCCGGGGGGGGGGGGGGTCCGAGGGTGAGCGGGGGGGGATAGGGGCGAGTGGTGACGTCTTTATCCCCCCCCCCACCCCCTGACCCCGCGCAGATGGCCACGCGGCAGGCGGGGGGATGGGCTCCGGAGGGACGGCATCGACCCCCAGAACTCGCACGAGAATCGCCGGTGGAGGAGCCCGGTGGCCCGCCCCGCCCAGGAGAGCGCGCGGATGCGGTACATATTGGGGGCCCATCGCCCGGTTTATCGACGATGTCTCGCCGACTCTCAGGGCTCTGTGTCCCCCCCACCCCTGAGTTGGTCTTAAGTCGGGCATGTCCCTCCACAGGAGGAAGGTTCAAGAATCAGGATAACAGTGATAATAATATAGCACTACTGGTAATGGTAACGATAATGATAATAACAACGATGATCATGATAATAATAATAGTAATACTAATAATAATAATAATTATAATAATAATTTTTATTATTATTATTATTATTAGAAAAACCAGAGTGAGGGGGCCGAACGGTCATTCAGTGTCCTTGGGTGCGTGGCTCAAATGGAAATCCGTGGCGAGGATTCTGGTCGTTGCATTGTTGTAGGTGCTGTTAATGTTATTGTTATGGTTGTTGTGGTTGTTGTGGTTGTGGTTGTTGTTGTGTTGTGGTTGTTGTGGTTGTGGTTGTTGCTGTTGTTGGTGGTGTTGTTTTTGTTAGTGTTGTGGGTGGTGTTGATGTTGGTATTGTTGTTGCTGTTGTTGGTGTTGTTGGTGCTGCTGTTGTTGGTGGTGGTGTTGTTGTTGGCTGTTGGTTGTTGTTGGTGTTGCTGTTGTTGTTTGCTGTCGTCGTCCCCCCGCGACCCACCCGCGACCCACCCCGCGACCCACCCCGCGACCCACCCCCCGACCCACCCCGCGACCCACCCGCGACCCCACACGCAACCGACCCGCGATCCCACACGCGACCCACCCGCGACCCACACGCGACCCACCCGCGACCCACCCCGCGACCCACTTGCGACCCACCCCGCGACCCACCTGCGACCTTCCCCGCGACCCACCCGCGACCCACCCGCGACCCACTTGCGACCCATCCCGCGACCCATCCCACGACCCACCCGCGACCGATCCACATTTGCAGAAAAAAATTGTCAAACATTGTCAAAATTGTGGCGCCTGCGGCGGGCTTCTCCAGGGTCTCGCAGACTGCCGATGTCCCCACCGCCCCCATCACTCTTATAACAATAGTTTTGATAATACGATTGCCTCTCCATTTCCTAAGATGGGGCTCTTGTTATTACTTGGACGCCTCCTACTCCACATTCCTCTTCTCCTCCTCATCCTCCTCCTCATACCTAGACTAACTCAGACACAGACTTACTCATATATAGACTTACTCACACTCAGACCTGATCATATTAACTTACCCATACTCAGACCTACTCATACTCAGACCTACCCATACTCAGACTTATTCATGCTGAGACTCACTCATACCCAGACTTGCTCATACTCAGACCTTCTCATTGTCTGACTTACTCAACACACAGCACATTGTGAGGATGTCTCAGGCGGGGCGCTGGTTTCAGCACCCCTAAGGGGAGCCACCGAGAGGTGTTGCCCGGTCCCGTTCACGGCCGTTTTGCGGAGATGTCTCAATCGACTTTCTTGTTTTCTGTTCCAACATCCTTCGCTTGGAAATCAGATTGTGAGGCTGTCTCAGGCGGGGCGCTGGTTGCAGCAACCCCAAGGGGAGCCGCCGAGGGGTATGATACGGTCCCGTTCGCAGTTTTTGTGTGGGGATGTCTCAAGCGGTTGGCTTGTTTTCTGTCTCAACATCCTCCGCTTGGAGAGCAGATCGTGAGGATGTCTCAGGCGGGGCGCTGGTTTCAGCACCCCTAAGGGGAGCCGCCGAGGGGTATGACACGGTCCCGTTCGCGGCCGTTTTGTGGGGATGTCTCAAGCGGTTGGCTCGTTTCCTGTCCCAACATCCTTCGCGTGGAGAGCAGATTGTGAGGACGTCTCAGGCGAGGCGCTGGTTGCAGCACCCCGAAGGGGAGCCGCCGAGGGGTATTGCACGGTCCCGTTCGCTGCCGTTTTGTTGGCTCAAGCGGTTGGCTTGTTTCCTGTCCCAACATCCTTCGCTTGGAGAGCAGATTGTGAGGATGTCTCAGGCGGGGCGCTGGTTTCAGCATCCCTAAGGGGAGCCGCCGAGGGGTATGACACGGTCCCGTTCGCGGCCGTTTTGTGGGGATGTTTCAAATGGTTTGCCTGTTTTCTGTCTCAACATCCTTCGCTTGGAGAGCAAATTGTGAGGCTGTCTCAGGCGGGGCGCTGGTTTCAGCAACCCTAAGGGGAGCCGCCGAGGGGTATGACACGGTCCCGTTCGCGGCCGTTTTGTGGGGATGTCTCCAGCGGTTGGTTTGTTTTCTGTCTCAACATCCTTCGCTTGGAGAGCAGGTTGTGAGGATGTCTCAGGCGGGGCGCTGGTTTCAGCAACCCTAAGGGGAGCCGCCGAGGGGTAGGGAGGAGGAGGAGGAGGAGGAGGAAAAGCAAGAGGAGGCGGAGGAGGAGGAGGAGGAGGAACAGGAGGAGGAGGAGGAGGGGTAGGGGAACGGAAAGGATGAGGAGGAGGAGGAGGAGGAGGAGGAGGAGGAGGAGGAGGAGGAGGAGGAAGGGAAAACGCGAGCGCACGAGGCGGAGCAGCGTGGGCCGGTGCTGTCAGCAGTGCCTCGGCACGAGGGCCTGCTCGCCCTCCTCGGGTGGCGATCGCAGAGGGCCTTTTGGTCCCCGCGCCGCGGGCCAGGCCTCGGGGACGTGGGCGAGGAGGAGGAGGAGGAAAAGGAAAAGGAAAAGGAGGAGGAGAGGAGGAGGAGGAGGAGGAGGAGGAGGAGGAGGAGGAGCAGGGGAGGAGGAGCAGGAGGAGGAGGAGGAGAGGAGGAGCGCGAAGAGGAGGATGAGGAGGAGGAGGAGGAGGAGGAGGAGGAGGAGGAGGAGGAGGAGCGCGAGGAGGAGCGGTGCGCGTCTGCCCGCATCCGCCGCCGCGGCTGCCCCCCAGGAGGACTCCAAGCCGGCCAAGGGCAAGGGAGGCAAAGGCGACGAGGACCCGCCACGACCACCGCTGCCGCTGATCCTCGGCCACGCGCAGAGTCAGAGCCCCGAATCATCAGGGGTAACTCGGGTCAGGGATAACTCGGGTTCGTTTTTCGGGAATCCAAACCCGAGTTACCCCGGACCCGAGTTTCCCCGGATAACTCGGGCGTCCAGAGCCCCGAATCATCAGGGGTAACTCGGGTCAGGGGTAACTCGGGTTCCTTTTTCGGGAATCCAAACCCGAGTTACCCCGGACCCGAGTTACCCCGGATAACTCGGGCGCCCAACAGAGGGGGGTAGCGGGGAGGGGGGAAGGCTTCTCAGAAGCACCCCTGCTTCTTAGGAGCGGCGGGCCTTGTCTGCAGATGTAAGGCCCGCGCCTTCTGAGAAGCAGCCTCATTCAAAGAAGCCTTCCCCCCTCCCCCTACCCACTAGTGCGCACCGCCACCTGCCGCTGATCCAGCCGTCGGGGCGATCGAGGCTGATACGGCAATAAGGGGCCAAGGGCGGCAGCATTTTTCTGATCCGTTCTGAACACGGCTCGCGGTTGTTGTCGCCGCGGACGTTTTCCATTTGAGACAGGATGCCACCAGCCCAACAGCGGCCGCTGTAGGTCTCGGACAGCATGTGTTGTCGGGCGTTATACCAATTGTTTGCGTACCCATTTCTCGAGCAGTGGCGAGGCGTCTTGGCTTGCTTACATGCCCACCGAAGAATACTATAAGAACCGTTTGTGGCCTGCACGAGATGTCCTAAGAACATGTCTGGCTGAGACTGTCTTGTTCCAGCACGTCAGTTTTATACTGAGAACAGTGATGTTGTTATTAGAACAGCTCTGGGTTCTAAGAACCTTTCGTGGTAGGCCTGTAGGAGTGCCGGGACGGTCGGTCCCTGCTCGAATTCCGTGCGTCCAAAATCTGTTGCGGCTCGTTCGCATCTCACCGTGTCGGCGGTGCGCGGCCAGTGCTTCGCGGTGCACGGCGGCGTCGCCCCGTCCCTCCCGGGCGGGCGGCAGAGAGGGGGAATAGGAGCGGGCGGGCCTTCTCGGAAGGCCCGCTCCTCCTCCTCCTCCTCCTCCTCCTCCTCCTCCTCCGCCTCCGCCTCCGCCTCCGCCTCGGCCTCCTCATCCGCCTCCTCCTCCTCATCCTCCTCCTCAGTGGCGGGCTGTTTTCTCAATCCCCAAGCGTTTTCAGGGTCGGGGAGGACGTCGGGGTGGTGTGGTGTATACCTGTTTCCCCGTTTCCGGGGGGGGGGGGGGGAACAGCGAAAAGTACAGACACACCAGGATCCCGTATACATCAGGATCCGCGTTTCTGTGCGACTTGCAGTGCGGGGCCGGAAAAAAAGAGCGTCGGTGTATAGAGTTCGGCTCCTTATTTGGAAGTTCCCCGGCCTTCTAAGAAGCTTCCTAAGCTTTCCCCGAAGGCACAGAAAACTTGGCAAGAAGGCCCGAAGGCTTACGAGAAGTTCAGGCGACCGCAACATGGATCAATGGGGCGTGGATTAGCGACGGGCCTCGTTTCCATGGGAAATCTTGGAATCCCGCCGCCGAACGGGGCGGCACCAGCCGCATTTTTGGGGAGAGCACTTCCCCCGATCCATGGATTTGGCGACCGCGCGTCAAATCCATGGATCGCTAATCCATGTTTGCGCGCCCCCGACGAAGGCACAGAAGACTTGTCAAGAAGGCCCGAGGGCTTATGAGAAGTGCCGCCGCCTTCCGAGAGGCCCCCCTTCACTCGCCGCCGACTCACCGTCGCCGCGGTGTGCGGCCAGTCTTCGCGGTGCACGGCGGAGCCGCCCTTTCCCCCCACCCACACACACACACGCACACACACACACACTAACAACAACAACAACAACAACAACAACAACAGCAACAACAACAACAACAATAAAAATAATAATAATAATAATAAAAATAACAATAACAACAACGACAACAATAACAACAACAACAACAACAACAACAACAACAACAACAACAACAACAACAACAACAACAACAACGACAACAGCAGCAGCAACAACAACATCATCAACAGCATCAACAACAACATCAACAACCACAACCACAACAGCAACAACCACAGCAACAACAACAACCACAACAGCAACAACCACAACAACAAAACGGGCGGAAGAGAGGGCCTCTGGGCTGACCAAGCCGTGCAGCCGACGGTCGGGAGCACGGGCCCTCTCATGGGCCACGCCCTACCTACAGCCAACCCGCACAGGAAGGATGGATAACCTGCCCCCTCGGCCCATCCCTGGCCCCTCGGCCCCCCTCCGTCCCTCGCATCCCTGCCCCCTCGCATCCCTCGGGAGCTCGGGAGCTCCCGAGCGAAGGGAACCCCACCCTCCCCCTCCGAAGTCGTGGGGGGCAGGGGCAGGGTTCGCATGTGGCCCCCTAATGGAGGGCAGGTTCGATGCCTTCGGGCTGGGCCGGGGTGGTCTGGCGGGCGGGGCTGCTCCGCGCCGCGGGCCTCGGCCCCGCCGCCGGGCACGAGGCCTCGGGCCGCGGGCGGCCTCCGGTGCCCGCGGCGCCGGCGGCGCAGCTGCCGGGAGGCGCCGGCCTCGCCCCCGGCGCTGCCGGGAGGCCAGATTTCCAGGCTGTGGGAACAGAACACACATTGTGGGAACAAAAACATACAAAAAACACACTGTCTGACAAAAACATACAAAATTGTATGTCTTCTGTTTTTGTCCCACAGGCTGTGTGTGTTTTTTTTCCCACAGACTGTGTGTGTGTGTTTTTCCTACAGTGTGGTTTTTCCCCACAGACTGTATGTTTCTTCCCACAGACGTTTTCCCACAATGTGTTTTTTTCCCACAGCCTAAGGGGCTGCTGCTCGGAGAAGAGCTGGCATCTGCACGCACGAGAGGGGTACTGAAAGAACGGGCAGTGGAGGATGGCGATGAATGAATGACCGGGGGTCGTGTTCACGCGGCGGCGCCCGGGATGACGATCAGAAGAAACCGGCCGCGGGCTGGAAATTTATCTTTTGAATCGTTCTCCTCCAGTCAGAGAATTGTGCAGAAATTGCAGAAAATTATTGTTTAACGTTCTCTCCCATTTTTTGTATTAATCGTCATCCCCCATTACAATGCCCAGCAGCAGTTCCTGTTCATTTTGAACAGGACTCGCTGTCCGCGCCGCGGCCTGTGTCCATTCGAGACAGAAGGCCGCCTGCCCAACAGCGGCCGCTGTTTGGTTTGGGACAACATTTGTTGTTGGGCATTGTACCCATTCTTTCCGTACCCATTTCGGGCGTCCAAACGAGAAAGGTTTGCTTAAGGGGTTGCTACTCGGTGAAAAACTGTCAAGCAGTGGCGAAGCGTCCCGGTGTGCCTGTAGTCCCACCAAGCAGTGTTCTGAGAACCGTCTGTGGTTTCCTCGAAGTGTTCTGAGAACATGTCTGGCGGAGTCTGTCTTGTCTTATCGCATCGGGTGTACGTTCTAAGAACATTGTTTTTGTTATTCGAACATTTTGGGGTTCTAAGAACATTTCGTGGTAGGACTATAGGAATGCCGGGACGGTCGGTCCCTGCTCAAATTTTGCCCGTTCCTTGGACCTGCCTGGGGTTCCCCAGGGGCACCAATACAGCGGAGGCCCATGCCAAGAAATGCCTTGCTCGCCTCCAGGGTGCCCTGGGTCTATATTGGATTCCGATGGCTTTGCCATGGGAGCCGTGAAGTTCCCACACCAAGAATCCACGGACGCCCTAGGGTCTCGGGGTTGGGTTTCTGGTGAAAGGTGTCTTGTGGTCGGGCCCCTTATACTGTACACATGACGTGGCCGGCCTGGGCGACAGCTGGATGGATGCGTGGCTACGTGCCTTTCCAGCCTTCGCGGTTGCCAGACATGGTGATCCTCCACGTGTGTATCCGGCAAGTGCCCTCCAGATGTACCACATGTGGATCCAGCTGGGTATGCTTCCAGCTCCCTGGTATCCCAAGCAGCTGCATGTGGCTGGTCTGTTAGCTTCCCCCTTCTCGAATAAGAGAAACAGCATAAACATAAACTTTGGGCGCTCCGCATGGATCTCTTGGATCCGCGCTGGGCCCCCCCGGCGGCGCCTCCGGCGGCGCCCCTGGCGCGCTCCGCGCGCCAGGGAGGGGGGGTTCCAGCGCCGTTCCAAGAAATCCGCGCGGAGCGCCAAAAGTTTCTGTCTATGGCGTTTTTCCTTGCTCTAAAGGTAGACGGCCGAAGCGCGCGGTCACCAGCGGACAGGCCGGGGCCGTCTGCAGCACGGTGCTGCTGCCCGTGCACGGCGGCCGTTGCTGCGGGCGCTCTCAAGCTCCGAGCGCCGGCCAGGCACAGGCGTGAGCGTGCCCGCGGTTTTGGCGGCCCATGGCGCGGGCAGCGGTCGGACGAGGCGAGCTGCGCCGCCGTGGACGGCACAGCCTCGCAGGCGATGTTTCTCCCCCGGTCCCCGAGAGTTCCGCTTGAGAGGTTTGGCCGTTCAGAGAAGGGTGGGAGCCCTGGGAGACACCCCAAGGGGGCTGCTCGGACGCACCCCCTGTCGAGGATGGGCGCCCCCCCGTCGCACATCCCAGGGTTGAGCCCCAACGTTCTGGTCCGTTCGAAAACGCCCAAAGCCTGGGATAGGGGTCGTCGTCGTCGTCGTCGTCGTCGTCGTCGTCGTCGTCGTCGTCGTCGTCGTCGTCGTCGTCGTCGTCGTTACAGACGCGTGGGCACCTCTGCGCGCGCTCCGCTGTGCGGCGGGTGGCCCTGGGCTCTTTAAGGCGGGCGCCTGCCTGCGGGGACCTCTGTCTGCGCAGGGGCGGCGGGAGCCCTCTCGGGGGTCCGCTGGCGGCTGCCTCCTCGGTGCGGGAGGGCAGTCACGCCCACGGAAGGCGAGAGACGGAAAAAGTCTGCAGCTGATCGTCCAGTCAGCAACGATAGAGTCGCAGCGACTGTTCATCATCCTCCCCCATTGCCCCCTCCTCTCTCTCTCTCTCTCTCCCTCTCTCTCTCTCTCTCTCTCTCGTAGTGATCATCCTCATCCTCCCCCCTCATCCTCGCCTTCGCGTCGGACCTCGAGCCCGCCGATCCTCCGCGCCTGCGTCATCGGTGTGGCGCCGACGGTTTGTGTCTTCCAGTTGCGGTGCGTTGCGCGCCGGATATTTTTCATTCCCTCCCTCTTTCCCCTTTCCTCCCCCTTCCTCCGTGTCTCCCCTATTAATAATGGTTTTGTTAGTCACCGCCGCCACGGTATTGCACTTTCGTTCTCACGGCGGTCGGGCCTCGCGCTTCTTTGCCGACCCGCGCCGTCGTCCTTTGAGTTTTTGTTCGAAACGTTGTTGGTCTCCAGTTCTTCGCCATATTACTCGCTGCGCCCTACCGCGTGGGTGTGGTGTGTGGCCGTGGCGAGCCTGGGTTTTCGCCCGCCGTGCCCGCCCTTCCAATTGCTTCCTTTTTCTTCTCCTCGCTTGTCCCTTCTTCACGCATGCCGCACGCTCGTTCCTCTTTCAGGCCACGGGTCATTGAATGAGTTTGCCTATTGCAGGACGGTTTTTGTTGTGTTCCTGGTTTGCCTGACGACCGTTTAATTCGCGCGGTCGAGGCGAGTCTGGTGTCGATTTGTGGTCGCGTTCCTTCCTCCTCTTCCTCGACAGAAAGAACCTCCCCCCTCATCCTCCTCATCCTCATTCCTGCTTTCCGCAATCATTCTCGCTGTCGTCCCTTGCCAATCGTTCTTCCTCTCCTGCCTCTGGTTCCTCCCTCCTGCCTCCTGTCTCAGTCCTTCTCCAATCCTCCTCCGCCTTTCCTATTCCTCCTCTCTCCCTCATCCTCTGTCATGTTTGACTCCTTCCTTGTCCGCGCGCAAGGGTGGCCTTGGAAAGTTGCTCCATCCTTACTATCATGGTCGACTGTAACCTCGAGATGGCCGAAGACGGCACAAAAGGCCCGGAAGAGGACCCCAAGACGGCCCAAGAGGCCTCCGAGAGGTCCACCAGAGAGGCCCGAACAAAAACAGTATCTTTGTGACGGCCCAAGAAGCCGCCCAGAAGGTCTAGGATACCTCCAAGACGCCGAATATGGCCTTCACGACGGCCCCGAAGTGGAGGGAGGGAGTCAGTCAGGGAGTGTAGGAAAGGGAAGGGCAACAGGGGTGGAAAGGCGGGAGAGGAGGGAGCGGGAGGGGGAAGGGAAAGAGAGAAGGAGGAGGAGGGAGAGGGGGAGGAGGAGGAGGAGGAGGAGGAGGAGGAGGAGGAGGAGGAGGAGGAGGAGGAGGAGGAAGGGAGGGAGGAGGACAGGATGGAGGAGGAGGAGGAGAAGGAGGAGGAGGAGGTTGCGACGCTACGGCCACTGTGCAACCTTCGAGTGGGGGCCAACTCAAGAAAGACGGCGAGGTTTGGTGGCGCCCGTGAGACGGGTGGCGCGAGGGGGGGCGGCCTTCTGAGGAGGCGGCGGGGCTTCTCAAAAGGCAGGGGGGGGGGTCTCAAAAGGCCGACTGGCTTGTGGGAAGCCTTCTGAAAAGCTCCCCGGGGCATTCTGAGATGGCCCCGTGCGTTCTGAGAGGCCCCGCCGCCTTTCTCGGAAGCCCGGCCCCGTCGCGCCAACCCCTCGTGGGCGCCGCAAAGAAGGTGGTCCTCCCGCCCCCGGGGGGGAGGGGGGATGGAGGGCAGGGGGGCAGGAGGCGGAGGAGGAGGAGGAGGAGGAGGAGGAGGACAGGTGGGGGGATATGGAGAAGAAGGTTGGCCCTCCTCCCCTGGCAGTGCACCCGCCCTGGGCCCCCAGGACCGCGGCGGGGGCGGAAAGGGCGGCAAGGACGGCGGGGCCAAAGCGGGCGCAGGCGCGTAGCACCTCCTGCTCGCCCGCATCGCCGTCGTCGTCGTCATCGTCGTCGTCGCCGGAGGAGGAGGAGGAGGAGGAGGAGGAGGAGGAAGAGGAGGAGGGAGTAGGAGAGACGAAGTAGGATGGAGAAGGGAAAAGGATGGAGGACGGTAAGGAGGACAAGCTAGGTGCGCTTGCGCAATAGCTGACATCCGACCCCTCCCACCCATCCCGTCCCATTGCGCATTTTCCGCATAGCGGACCTGAAAATCCAAAGCGAACCCAATCGGATGTTATGCGCAATCGCAAAAGGAGAGCTACGCACATTGGACCGAGATGGGGGATGAGCAGGAGAAAAAGGAGGATGAAGAAGGAGAAAGACGAGGACGAACAGCAGCAGCAGGAGTTGGAGTGGAATGAGCAGAAGGAGCAGGAGTGGAATGAAGGCGGAGGAGGGGGAAGGAGGGGGGCGACAACGATGAGCAAGCAACTGGACCCAGAAAAGCGGTCTGCGTTGAGGCGAGAGCGCCATCATGCACAATGGGACGAAAGCGCCGATCCTCAATTGAGGCCCACGCTGCTGTGGGAGCACCAGTTTGACACATCGCTTGATAAAAGAACATCGCGAGCACCAAAAGAGTTAAATCCTGCGTGTAGCAAATAACACGCAGAGAAAACTTGACACCTTCTGGACAGAGTCAGGGGAGAAGGGAGAGTAGCATGCACATCAGGACGGAGATGTCGTGCGAATCTGCGGCATGTGCCGCATGCTTTCCCAGATTTTCTGAGTTATTGAGTGTGGACTTGCAGGAGACGACAAGACGAAGTGGCAGGCGAGCCGGCGCGAGGTGAAATGAGCAAGAGCAGGGGTCGTGCATTTCTGAGCGCGTTTGGCGCCGGGGAAAGCATCTGTCTTGGCGCAGGGAGCGCCGATCGCACTAGCGAGGGCATCTCGGAGTGCATGGTGCCCCCTTCTCTTCTCTTCCTCGATCTTCTTATCCGTAGGATACAGAGAGGAATATGGCTCGCATATAAAAAAAGGGGTTCGGGGAACCTTCCTTTTTGAGCAGGCCCGCTCGCACGCGCAATGGGCAACTCAATGCCAGCGGCGCCGCACCCCATGGCTTCATCGGGGAGCTACTGACTGGTAATACAGGGCTCCCTGCGAAAAGGGCCGCGCGCTCGCCTGTGGTGGCGGAGGGGGGGAGGTGAGGGCTTGGGGCGAGGAGGCAAGCTTGCACGCCTCTGCGCATGCCTTGGCAGTTCCCTCGTTAAGGTGTCGAAGGGCTGTCGCGTCCTTGCTGCACTACACCCACGCAGGGGAATGTCGCATACGCTCTACACTGCACCTTCGCGGGCGCATTGACGTTGACCCCCTCATGCGGATGTCCTGTCCTGTTTGTATCATCCTCTTCCTATTCCTCCTCCTCCTCCTCCTTTTCCTCATCCTCCTCCTCTTCATCCTCCTCCACCTCCTCCTCCTCCTCCTCTTCCTCCTCCTCCCCCTCTTCCTCCGTCTCCTCCTCCTCCTCCTCTTCCCCCCTCTTCCTCCTCCTACACACGGGCATGACTGGTTTGACCATCCGTGGACTGAGGCACACGTTCCCCGGTAGATACGCGGCTGCATGGCTCCGATCCCGTTTCCCATCCGACCCTGGTTCACATCTATCCGACCCCGTTTCCACCAGTCGGAATGCTTTTCGCCAGCGCCGCGGTTTGACCCCGTTCTGGGCCCCGATTCGCCCGCGCTGCCCTTGTAGGGCTGGTCCGTCGGACCGACTGTTCGGGTTCGTTCCTCCCTCCTCCTCGTCCATCCTGCACACTTAATTCTAGAAAGCCAATCCCAGCATAGAGAGACACCGGCTGCCCCTGCGACCCGTCCATCCATCCGTCCATCGTCATCATCATCATCATCATCATCATCATCATCATCATCATCATCATCATCATCATCATCATCACATCATCATCATCATCACATACATCATCATCATCATCATCATCAGCACATCATCCCTCTCCTCCCTCCTCCTCCTCCTCCTCCTCCTCCTCCTCCTCCTCCTCCTCCTCCTCCTCCTCCTCCTCCTCCTCCTCCTCCTCCTCCTCCTCCCCCGATGCATTGATTTTGCATTACGGGGTCCGGGTACTCAGACCCCCTCGCGTCGCGAAAAAAACACGACGGGAGGGTTTCCCCCATGTTCGGCCTCTGGGGGGCCTTGCCAGGCCTCGGGCCCGTAAATGAACGACCCGACATGAGAAGCCGGTCTTGGGGAGTGGGTCGAGACCTTTGGGGTTTGACGTTTAAAGAGGAAAGCATCAACAACAAAACAACAGAACAACAAAAACTCTATACATATATCTATATATATATATGTATAGATACGAACCACGCGCGCTACGCGCGCGTAAGTTCTAGTCACGCCATCATGGCGCCAAAGGGTGCCACGACAAGCAGTGCCATCGACAGCGGATCTCGTCCCAGAGGGTCCTGACGGCCGACCCTCCTGGAGCTTTTTTGGAAATCTCGTACTGTGTTGCCTCCTTCCTGGCATAACTCCTTCGCAGTGTTTCATTGCAGGAAGGTTCCAGAACTGCCTGGACTGAGCCAGGCTGAATCGAACGGCCGCGAACCAGCGTCCCCTCCAAGACGAATCGAACGAACCGGAACGGTCGCGGTAAAGACCCGAACCGGACCGAACCAACATCGCTCGTGGACCGAATGGGGCCGAATCAGAGCGATACAGACCGAACTGGAGCGGTAAATCCACCCCATGGAGTGGGGAACGAAACCCGAAGCCCAACACAGAACTGCCCGGACTCCCGTTTTGCTCGTCATCGTTGTCGGCCTCCTCCTCGCCTTTTGTCTTCGTGCTCGCCCTCGTCCTCGTTCGCCTTCGTCTCCTCCCTGGCCTCTTCGTCCTCCTCCTCGTCGTCGTCCTCCTCCTTCCCGTCCGCCCTTGATGGATTCCGGATCCTGGGCTTTGGACCCCTGGCTCCGGGGACCCGCGTTGACGCTTGTAGACTCATCTTCGCCCCCTGGAATCCTCCGCGATCCCTGGACTTCTCCTCGGCCCCGCGAGCGCGGCCCCAGGACCCCACGTCCAGGAGGAGGAAGAGCAGGGGGGGGAGGAGCAGGAGGGGGAGGAGGAGGAGGGGCAGGGGAGGAGGAGCAGCATCAAAGGAGGAGCTGCAGGAGTAGGAGCAAGAGGAGGAGCAAGAGCAGGAGGGGGAGAAGGAGAGGAACGGGGGGGGGGGGGAGGGCAGGGGGGGAGATGAGGAGCAGGAGGATGAGTAGCAGGAAGAGGAGCAGGAGGAGCAGCAGCAGCAGCAGCAGCACCACCACCAGCAGCAGCAGCAGGAGGATCAGGGGAAGGAGGGGGATGAGCAGGAGGAGGAGGAGGAGGAGGAGGAGGAGGAGGAGAGGACGACGCAGAGGAGGAGGCACCCCCGCCCCCACCGCCTCCCCCTTGTGCCTCCTTCCTCCTCCTCCTCCTCCTCCTCCTCCCCTCCTCCTCCTCCTCCTCCTCCTCCTCCGCCTTCTCCTCCGCCCTCTCCTCCTCGTCCTCCTCCTCCTCCTCCTCCTCAACCTCCTCCTCCTCCTTCCTCCTCCCTCTCCTCCTCCTCCGCCTCCTCCTTCTCCTCCTCCTCCTCCTCATCATCCTCCTCCTCCCCCTCCGTAGCATCGCCGATGGATCGACGATGCGGCTCGATGTGGAGCCCGTGTTTCGCCACGCCGACGTTGCCCATGCATCGCCGACGTCGCCGATGCATCGCCGATGCATCGCCGATGCATCGCCGATACATCGGCGATGCATCGGCGATGCGGCGCGATCCTTCGACCCCATCTACTCGGACACCATCTAGGAAGCCTCTAGGAAGGTGGACACCCATGCCAAGAAACACCCGGCTTGCCTCCAAGGTGCCATGGGTTTCTTGGGCTTCGATGGTTTGGCAACGGAAGAAGCGTGGCGTTCCCACACCCGGAACTCAATGGACGTCCTGGGGTCTCAGCGGGTTGGATTTCTTGTGCAAGGTTGCTTGTGGTCGAGCTCCTGCGCTTACGCGCAGCCGATCTGAGGGGACGACGGCGACGACGACGACGACGACGACGACGACGACGACGACGACGACGGCGGCGACGACGACGACGACGACGACGACGCCGGCGCCGGCGCCAGCGCCGGCGCCGGCGCCGGCGACGGCGACGGCGACGACGACGACCAGGGCGCCTGGCGCCCCGCCCCTCGGCTCGAGAGCGGCGGCGCAGGGAGCCCCGGAGCTCTGGCCGCCGTCCCCCCTCTGCCTGTGCCTGCGCGCGGCGCGTGCCCTTGGCGTGGCACCGCTCGGACGCTCAGCCACGCGCAGAGGGAGGCGGGGGGAGGGGGCGGCAAAGAGGGGGGTGATGACTAGCGGGGTGTGGATATCATGGCGTGGGCCATGATGTTTCCTCAGATTTCGTGGCGCCTCGTCTTATTTCATTACGTCCCTGCCCCCCCCCCCCCTGGGCCACGCACATGCCGCCCTGCCATGATTCGCACCCCCCCCTCTTGGATGCCCCCCTCTTGGCCGCTCCCGAGGGGGGAGGGGCGAGGGCTTCTTAGAGGCACCCCTGCCTATTCGAAGGCGCGGGCCTCGCTTCTAGATGTGAGGCCGGCGCCTTCTAGGAAGCAGCTTCCTTCTAAGAGGCGCCCCCCCCCTCCCCCACCCCTCTTCCTCCACTGCGCGCGGCGCGCCCCCTGGGGCGCGGCACCGCTCGGACGTGCGCCTGTCTGTTTTCTTTTGGGGGGGGGCGCGAAGACCATCAAGGACCGCTTTTTTCTTGGGGGGGGGGGGCTTACCAGAGGGATCCTTGCCCCGGGAGCACGGGCGCAGCGTAGTCTACGAGGCATCGTGGCCCCGGGAGCGCGGACGCAGCGTCATCTGCGAGGGGTCGTGGCCCTGGGAGCGAAGGCCTGTTTTTGTTTCCGAGGGGGGCGCCTGTTCTTTTTTTCGGGGGAGGGGCGCGAAGGCCATCGAGGAACACTTTGGCTCACCTTGCGGCGGCGGCCGCGACGGCGACGGCGACGGCGACGGCGCCGCGAGGCGGCGACGACGACGACGACGACGACGACGACGACGACGACGACGACGGCGGCGGCGGCGGCGACGACGGCGGCGGCGGCGGCGGCGGCGGCGACGGCGCCGCGAGGCGGCGGCCGCTCGCCGGCCACCGCCTCCGCGGGCAGCCGCTCGCCGGCCACGGCGGGCAGCGCCTGGGACCGGGAGAAGCCCTCCGCGGTCGGCCGCCGCGCGCACGCTGCCGCCGCCCCGCGGCGTCGTCGTCGTCGTCGCCGCCTCCGCCACCGCCGTCGTCGTCGTCGTCCTCGTCCTCGTCCTCGTCCTCGTCCTCGTCCTCGTCCTCGCCCTCGTCCTCGTCGTCGCCGCCGTCGTCGTCGTCGTCGTCGTCCTCGTCCTCGTCCTCATCCTCGTCCTCGTCCTCGTCCTCGTCCTCGTCGTCGTCGCCGCCGCCGTCGTCGTCGTCGTCGGCGTCGGCGTCGGCGTCGGCGTCGTCGTCGCGCAGGGTGCCGCCGCCCTGCAGGTCTGGCAGTGGCGAAGCGTCCCGGCTCGCCCGGGGGCCCGCCGCGGAGTGTTCTGAGATCCTGCGCTGTGTCTGCGCGTAAGGTTCTTAGACTATGTTTGGTTGAGGTCGTCCTCTTTTAGTACGTCGCCTCTGTGTTCTATGGATATTGCTCATGTTCTTAGAACTTGAACTTCGCTGAGTGGCAGCGAACACGAGTTGTGTGTTTGGGGGCGACGGAGGAGGGGGGCAATGCTCGTAGGGCAAGAGCAAACCTCAGATCTCAGCTTCTCGCGAATGGGGATCGTAAGGACTGCGACTGACGGATCAAGCGCGCCGGCCGAGCGCACTGGGATTTGGCCCTGGAAACAACGCTGCCCCCCCAGCGACCTCCAATTCAGACCAGGCTTTTGTTCTGCGGCGATTTCGTGGTGGGCCTGTAGGACTGCGGGGCTGGCCGGTCCCTGCTCAAGTGCCGCCCTCCAGAGCGGCGGCGGCCCTCCCCAGAAGCGACGGGTCTGGAGGGCCTCTGCATACACCGATCCTGGCTTTGGCCCATCCTGGATCGGTGTCTTTACTCAGGCGATCGCAAGCATGGATCAAGGGGCCGTGGATTCTAGCGACGGGCACCGTTTCCAAGGGAAGACGCGGATTCCCGCCGCCGAACGAGGCGGCACCAGCCGCATGCTGGGGAGGGCACCTCCCGATCCATGGATTTGGCGACCGCGCGCCAAATCCATGGATCGCTAATCCGTGTTTGCGTGCCCCCGATATTATATCTCCCTGGCTAAGCCACGAGGGCGTGTGCACCGATCCTGGGCTCAGGATGGGCCTGGCCAGAATCGGCGCATGTGCAGGGCTCCCTCTCCCCAAACGAAAAGACGTGTTCTGCGTTCCAACGAGAGAGCACTTGCGCGAGCCTCGTGCAGAGGCCTCGTGCCGGGGGACCCTGTGCGCCTTGTGCGGGGTTTTTGATGTGCGTGCTTTCCACCACCACCACCAACACCACCACCACCACCACCACCACCATAAGTTGGAGGGAAGGGTTCTCCTCCTCCTCCTCCTCTTCCTCCTCCTCCTCCTCCTCCTCCTCCTCTTTGTTCCTCCTCCTCCTTCCTCCTCCGCCTCCTCCTCCTCTCCTTACTTCTCCTACTCTCTTTGTCCTCTCTCCTCCTCTCTCCTCCCTCCTCCTCCTCACTCCTCCTCCTCCTCCTCTTCCTCCTCTTCGTCCTCCTCCTCCTCGCCCTCCTCCTCCTCCTCCTTCCCCCCTCCAGCTCTGGTGGAAAACAGGCTCATCAGCTCTTGTGCTTGCCCCTGGGCTCGGACCACTGCTGGCCAGGCGCTGCTCGGCACAACAAGACCCCTTGGGCGCCGTGTGCGCCGGCACCCTGCGCTCCGGGTTCGCGTGGCGTCGACTGATGGGCCCATCTGTAGGAGGGAGGGAGGGAGGGAGGGAGGGAGGGAGGGGGAGGGAGGGAGGGAGGGAGGAGGAGGAGGAGGAGGAGGAGGAGGAGGAGGAGGAGGAGGAGCAGGAGTCGCGATCCCATGGGACGTCGCGCCGAGTTCGATTCGGGACGGGCAAGGGCGGCAGGAAAAGACGAGATAGCGCAATCGAGCACAGAAAGACTGCGGGCCCCAGGGCACTGTTAGCCCAGCCAAAGGAACTCCTCATCCTCCCTTCACCTCCGTCCTACATATGGTAGTGGTGGTGGAGGAGTTGCCCAGCATCGACCAGCGGCGACCCCGCCGCCAGCGCTCAAAGCTGACTGCCGCCGGCGACCCAGGATCGGTCGGGGTCGCACGATCCGACGCTTCGGAAGCGGCCGATGGTTCAGGGTTGAACGACCCCCGCGGCGTCAGGAACCAGCGCCAGGGCCGACGCGGCACGGACCCCGGGCGCGGGTCCGTGCGTGCGTCGCTTCGAGAGCAGCTTCGCAGCACGAGGCCGAGGCTTGCCTCGCGGATTGGGGCGCCTCGGCGGCGGCGTCCGGGGTGCAAGCAAGGCGAATGGGCGGCGGGGGCCGGGCTCGGCACTCGTCGGCGAACACGTGGCGAGATGCGAGCCCTGCCCCTCCTCCTCCTCCTCCTCCTCCTCCTCTCCTCCTCCTCTCCTCCTCCTCCTCCTCCACCTCCTCCTCCTCCTCCTCCTCCTCCTCCTCCTCCTCCTCCTCCTCCTCCTCCTGCTCCTCGTCCTCCTCCTCCTCCTCCTCCTCCTCCATCTCCTCCTCCTCCGAGCGGTTTAGGAGAATCGATGCTTGGCAGGGGCGGGGCTGTGCCGATGTCGCCACCTTGGAGGCCGAGCTCATGTACGCCGCTGTGCGCGAGCGCGCGTCCTTTGTAGGCTCCCCACCTCCAGCAGTGGCCCTGGCCGCGCTGGGCGAAGGACGAAAGACCACCTCGACGGAGACGGCGGCCACTTCCCAGACCTCCAACAGACAGTGGAAACCCAGGCCAAGAAGCACCCTGCTTGCCTCCTGGGTGCCCTGGGTCTCTTGGGTTTCGATGTTCTCGCGATGGAAAGCGTGACATCCCCACACCAGAGCTCAATGGAAGCCCTGGAGCCTCAGGGTTGGGTTTCTTGTGGACTGGCCTCCACTGTCTTGAAAAATTATGTGCCGAGGTTTTTCTTGTTCGTCTCCGGGGGCCCTCCCTGGGGCCCTGGGGCCGTCCAAAAACTTGCGCGGGATGCAAAGCCCGCCCTGGGGGAAAGGGCCGAGACTCTCGGGCGAGTGGTGATGGGGGGTGGCCCACATGGAGGGGTGAAGAGAAATGGCCCCGAGGAGCCCCCATAGGGCCCCTCTGGGGCTACCAGCCCTGGCTCCAGACGGGACCCTCCTTTGGGCCCCCATTGGGGGGCCCCCTCCTCGCCCCCCGTGTGGGTCACCCCCCGTTGCCACCCGCCCCAGACTGCTCGAGGGCCCCGCACGGAAAGAGCCGAGGCGTGGGGCTTCTGTGGGCAGCGCGACCGCCTCGGTGGCCCCTCGCCGCCCCGGCCCCGAGGCGGCCCCACGGCGCCGTCGGCGGCGGCGCCCGCGTCGTCGTCGTCGCCGCCGCCTCCGGGCCCTCTCGGGGCCCCCCTCGGGCACCGGGGGCCTGCAGAGAGCGCCTCGGGATGCAACGCTGGCCCTGGGGGAAGCAGGGCTCGTCTCGATTCCTCCGACCCGATTCGAGCCGATTCGATTTCGGTGGGTTCCGATGTCGATTCGGTTCGGCCTCGGATTCCGATTTGGATTCCGCTTCCTCAACGGAGGCCTGCTAGCCTGCCGATCTCCGCCGATTCGACTTCTCCCGACTTGGCTGCGGATTTCCGCCGATCCGCTTCGTTCCGATCGCCGACCCGACTTGTCGATTCGATTCTGGGCCCTCCTGGGGTCCATAGGGGCCGCCTCCCTCGGCGACCGTGTGCTTCGGTTGAGGAAGGAAAAAAGGGCATAAGCATAAACTGTCTCAGGAGGGGAAAAACCACACAGACACAATGAATCGCCGATTCCAAGGAAAAGATGGGACAATATGGGAAGTGTGGGGGGGAGACAAAAACCCAGAAAACATTGGAAATTATGGCGAATACGGTTATTTGTGTCTATGTATTATTTGTGTGTCCCTGGGCCCCTTCCGGAAAGAAGGGCATGAGCATAAACTGTCGGCGCTCCGCGCGGACTTCTTGGCTCCGCGCTGGGTCCGCTCTCCCTGGCGTGCGGAGCGCGCCGCTGCTCTGCTGAGGATCCGGATGTAGCGTCAGGAGCCTGAACGTGGCCTTCTTGAAACTCACACGCCGCATCGGCGGATCTGTACAGGCCGTGAATTGTTGCACAGTGGATGCGTCCGCTGTCCGCTGTGTGCTGCGAGCTACGTGGTGATACGTGTGTGATGCCAGGTACGTGGTGCGAGCTATGCGGTCCAGTCTACGTGGTTGAAGCTATGTGGTGCAAGCTATGTGGTGCAAGGTATGCCGTGTAGGTGCAAGCTATGCGGTACAAGCTATGCTGTGCAAGTTGATGTGGTGCAAGGTGTGTGCAGTAATATCCGGGGAAACGTAAGACTCGGGTACGCCAGGACTCGAGTTTGCCGACGATGTCTGACGATCCTGCATTTTGACGGTCCAGGATTCGTGGGATGCTTGCTGCGGGAGGTCGCGTCAAATTTCCGATCGGGCCTCATCAGTTTCATGATGGCTCCGTCAGGCAGACCCGAGTCCCCCGAACTCGAGCCCTGCGCCTCCCCGGCCAACAAAAATGTGGTGCAGGGTCTGTGGTGCAGGCTATGCGGGGCGTACCCAAAAGGGCTTCGCCTTCGAGGATCGAAGGAGTGGTCATCCCTCCCGCGGCGGACGGGCGGCGGAGGTGGAACGAGGCCCCGCCTCCGCCGGCGGAAGCCGGCGGAAGGCTGACGGAAGGTGGCGGACGTAAAAGATGCGCCCCCGAGGGGAATGGAAACGTTTTCGGGTTCCGGGTGTTCGGAATCGGACATGCGGTGCAAGCCATTCCGGGCTTCTTGATAAGCGCGGGGGGGTACCCCCCCGACGGGGGCGCCTCGTCGTCGCGCCGCGACAGGGGTCGGAGCGCCTTCGGCGCGCGGTGGCTGCCCGCGACGCGGGTCGATGTGGGGCTGTCGGCGGGGGTGACGGCCCCCCCGACGCTTATTCAGAAACTTGGAGTGCCCGTACCGCTACCCCTCGCCTGTCTTCCCCCTGTTCGGGGCCTCCCGGGAGGCCCTCGTCGCC